TGGCGTCAATGAAAAGCAATCTATTCTCTATTGTTTTAACTTGGCGGCGCCTTCTCTATTGGGAATTGAAGTGTTTTTAGCTCTGTGGCTAGGGCTTTGCTTTATTTCACTGAAAGTTTTTCAGTGGATCTATGCCCTGGATTGTCAATTTTTGAAATTTTGTGAATTTCGAGCTACGGGTTCGTGAGGTAGCCCATTCGAAAGCTCACGTTTTTTTACCCCTAAGAGTGCTGTATTTTATCCCACAAAATATTCTACGAGTTTTTTATAAGGATTTAAAGTTTGTAATTTTCGGTCATTTGGGGTAGAAAACCGGTTGTAACTTTTTATCAAGAGGGGTTCCGCAACTTTTGAAAACGGATTCGGAATCAGCGAAAAATTCTGCACAAAATGTGCTATCTCACGTATCGAAATCCCGCGGTCAACAAAAAACGGTTACAGTCAGCGAATTACGAGAAATCGTCTCGCTTCTTTGATGTCATCAGACAACTTCTCGATGAACGGATGCATGCAGGGCCAGCCCCATTTGAACTAGATATTCTCTTCGAACCCCCGTTGCTCCCTGATCAGCTTCATCCAAATGTCCTTGGACCTGATTACCCATTCGAGTTCAATGGATACGATGACTACTTTTGTGGCCTCAGCAATCCTCCCATCCATATCCAAATCACATCCTCCAATATTTCCGCGGATTTTTGCTCCCAATTTCCGGTGGTCTTATGAGCGCTTCACTATTTTAAGCATAGTTTCATTTCTGATACTCTCTAACGCGTTTTCCCTTATATTTTCCAAATAAAATTTTAATTTCAGGTTCTGTGCGCGAGTTGGCAGCTCGAAATGCCGAAAATGGCCCATGGAACGTCAAAGTGGGCTGCGCTAAAAGGTCATTTTTTTTTTAAGTTTCGTTCTATGTTTTTTAGGAAATTCACGATGCACTGCGACGGTGGTGTTCTTCCCGGAAGACGCCTCTCTGCTGTTGTTGAATCGCGGTTCGTGATCGGACCTCCTACTTCTCCGTATTTCTTTTTCAGATTTCGGATCGAAGACAACAAGAAGCTGCTGAGGACTGTTGACGCGGCAGCGCTTTCGGCGAAATGCAAAGAAAGAAGGTTGCATTTGGCTTTTTTAGTCTAATAACTACGAAACTCTTACTAAACCAATATTTTTAAAGCCGCTTTGAGGGTCATGCCGTAAAGATTGTTTCGGAGGTTTTCCTCTAGCGCTAAAGTGGCCTATTTTCCCTCAAAATTCAATTTCTGCCCTCGTTATCGATTATTTTCGGGAATTTCCCCTAATTTTCTCTGCTAGTCCGCTCGGCCCATTCATTCAATGCAGGCATCACCAAGAAATTTCAGGCTCGGCGTGTGCGAAAAGCTGCAAATCGACGTCAAATGGCTGGAGGGTCCGGCACGCAAAAAGGTCATGTTTTTGTTTGCTTTATTTGGGTTATCTTGATTTAGTGAAGCGGAGAAGGCGAACAGCGGCTTCGTGTCGACCGCTGGGCCATTCATGTTGCAATGAATTGCGGTTAGTGATTGGACCTGCTACTTCGCCGCCAAACTTTTTTTAGGGACATTGGGCAACCGATACCAACAGAAGAAGACTACAGGAAAAGCCGAGCTCAAGGTATCAATTTGCTCCAAAAATCGTTATGTTTCAGGCACGAAGGTGCAGCTCGTTGTCGAAAAGACGTCAATCAAACTTGGAATAATTGTATCTTACAAATTTTGAAAATTTACAATACCTTACAAATTTTGCTCTTATTTATTGAAAAAAAAAACTGTTGATAGCGCCAACCACAATATTTCCACGCCGACCCTTGTTACTAAACAGTATCTCTGCTTTCGGCTAGCGTATTTTTACTCGAATCTTTCAGCTGCGAATACCACTCTCATCGTTCATCATTTTCCTCTTGTTTTCCTTTCCAATTCTCGAGTATTTTACGACCATTTCTTCAGCAATTTTTCATTTGCAGGTAAGAAAACGACTCGCAGCTTCGATGGATCGTCATCAATTCGAGGAAGAGCTGCTCGTTCTACGAGGAAATGAGGAGGCCACTGACATGGTCATCGTCGATGAGAGCAATGGAAATGAGGAGGAGGACTACAAATCAACGGTCAACATCTACGACCTGCCGCTGGACATGTTGTGGCAGATTCTGGAACCGTTGGACGAGGATGACCTCTTCTCAATTGCCGGCGCTCATCGGAAGTTCCTCTACGCTGCAAAATATCTGAAGGACAAGTACTTTGGCTGCGTGAATTACTTGGCCAAAGCGAACCCTCGGACTCGTTGCTCTGCTCACACGCCGGAAATGCTGGAGATTCTTCTCCATGGAGCACGTGTCGATCGGATGGTCATCAATATGAATGCGCCGCCGTTCGATGTCGTTCAAGGGCTGGAGCCTCGAGAGCTGGTTTTGAATGGGAATGGGCAATCGACTGACTGGGCAGCCATTCTCATCGAGAAGATGAAACCCACGCGGGTGCTTGACCTGCACAGCTATGAGAAATACACGATTACCCCGCGGTTGAGCCAAGCCATTTCCACGATCAAAGAAGACCTATTGCTCGGCGATGTTGGAATGGAGATGCTCGACTTCATCGCCCACTGGAAATTTGGGTTTTTGGGCTGTACGTTGCGTAATCCGAAGAATGGAAAGATGCCCCCTCAATTCTTCGATGTCATCAGACAACTTCTCGACGAATTCAAGAATGGAGAACGTCCTGTCATGCGTCTAAGTATCTCCTTTCGATCGAAGCTGCAACGTCAGCATCAGCTTCATGCTGCTGTCCTCGGACCCCGCTATCCACTACAAGTCCAGCGTGCTTATGGTGATGATTATTATTCGTATCGTGATCGTTCCATCTCGATCGACATCTCTGGGAAATGGTTGACTCTTCATTCTCGTTAGCGCTTCTCATTATCATCTTTTTCTCTGTGTTTCTCTTTGTAGCTAATAACATAATTGTGAATTGTCAGCTATATTCTCTCACTCTCCGTCTATTCCTTTTCTAATTTCAATCCAGCATTCGTTCTCATAAATCAATTTCAGATTTCATCCCGTCCATCACGACGAGGTCGCCTTCCTTCATCTACACGTCCAGCACAATGTATTGCGGTTAGTGTACGGCATTGCTACTTCTCCGCCATTCTTTTTCCAGATACTTCCCGGTCTCGTCGTGGCAACTTGAAGATGACGATGACATTAAAAACAAGAAGCACGGCTCTGCGATGGGGATACCGACTGAACGGAGACGGTTTTTAGCGTGAATGGAGTTTTTGATCGAAACCAGGCCTATTGTGTGCTGAATTTTGCGCTGATTCCAAATCTGTTTTCAGAAACTGCTAAATAGCCGATTTGAAGAAGATACAAGGCTTTTTACGGAATGGCATACTTTGAAGGCCTGTAAAAATGTCAGAGCAAGTATCCAGAAGAAACCAAGTAGCACATCCTGCTGTGAAAATCATGCGCTTTCCGATGAGCGAAATCGCACGCCGATTTTCCCAGATTTGGCTCAAAAAGTTTTTAAAACGTTGAGGTGAGAAGTGAAACAACCGATTTCCGAAAAGTTATTTAACAGTTTCTGAAAACGCGTTTGGCATCAGCGCAAAATAGACCTGGTCACATTTCGAAACTCCATTCACACTAAAAAACGTGTGCTTGTGAGCCTAGGCCGCATCGAAGCCCCAGAAATCACGTACTATTTTGCAGACATGGCAATTTCGGTCGGCCGGCAGCGGCCGACCGGCCGACGGCGACATTAGCATAAAAAATCGGCCCTTTCCGGGCCGCCGACTCTATGCAAATGACTTCCGGTCGGCCGATCGGCCGGCCGACTTTTTTGGTCGGCTCGGCCGCGGCCGCGTCGGCCGGCCGACAATTCACACTTGAGAAAAAGTTTCCCAGAAACGTGTCGCTGGCGCCTCTAGATTTTGAATAAATAAGGAATGGGTTTGGACATTGGTTTTCACTATTCCCTAGGATGCCTGCCTACCAAATTTTATTTAAAAATCTTTATTTTATGTGGGGAAAGCGTGCTTTTTATGTAAACCCTGAATTTTTTTTGGAAGGTTGCCAGCTTCAAATATAATTCAATTTTGTAGTTTCAACTAACACTCAAAATTAGTCAGGATGTTGCTATGACGAGTGGGCCTTTAGTTTCCTGAATCTTTTTTAATTGGATCGTTTGCGGCGATGAAGCAATTAGTGATGATAAAGCAAATGTAGCAGCAGCCACGTCAAATCCGTTGTAATCACGTCTAACCCTAGACCGTTGCAGCCCCATTATTTAACTAATTTCCTCAGTCTAAACATTAGTAAATCCCTTCATTAGCATCCAAAAATCTAATTTGATTGCGGGTTTTCGGCCGTTTCCGGGCCGTGCGGCCGGCCGACATTTCGGCCGGCCGATTTGGCCGCGGCCGCGGCCGACCGGAAATGGCGGCCGGCCGCATTCTAATTTTTTCGGCCGAAAAAGCCGATCGGCCGGCCGATTTGCCATGTCTGCTATTTTGTTGATTTTCAAAAATCTTTTTAGGAAAGAAGCACGAACAGCCATGGCTTATCGACAAATGAAAATTCTGGATTCTGAATTGCGGTTAGTGATCGAACTGATCTTCTTCTCCGCCCACGTTTTTCAGGTCGTGTCGCCTTCTGCGAGGAAATTCAGGGCTTTCGAGGAAAGTCAAGGAAAAGCTGTGTGCGTACAACGAGAAGCTGGCCATTGGGAACAAGAAAGAAAGGTGAAATTAGCTTCTTAGGATGTTCAATTCAGGGATTTTTTAGAAGGCGTAATGCCCTTCCTTTTTGCAGGGCTCTTTTTCATCAGCTTTTTGGACCTATTTGACGATGAAAATATATGAAATTTTGGCAATCTGCGCCCGCAAACCCTTGTTTTTTGGGTTTCCAGCTGCTTGGTGAAGCTCGGAAAACGATTACGCAATGTAATTGGGTAAGTGCTATTAATTTCTCTATATTTATAGAGGGAGGGCGTCTATAGTACTTTCTCGTTGCGGAATGCCAATACATTCTGAAGACGTTGATTGTCAGCTGGAGATGAGGAGGAGGAAGGAGAGTGACCGAATCCCGGGAATGCATCTAAAACATCCCAAATTGTGGCTGCTAGCTGCCCCTTTGGCGCTTTTTTTCACCCAGTATTTCCAAACAGATCTCTGCTAGCTGCCCCTTATCGCCCTTTTACAGCTCCCTTTTAGAAGAAATTCCTCAATGCGTTCTGCTAGCTACCGAATACCACATTTTATGGTTTCTCAAATGGTCTCTGCTAGCCCCCTTCCGAGTACTTCCTCCAATAACCTCTGCCAGTTTGCCCCCCTTCTTACCTTTTGTATCCGACCATAAAACAGAATCTCGACTCGATAGATTCGGCATTTGCGGCCCATTAATTGTTGACACTTTTGGCATTGAGGCGGATGGGTTGCCTGTAATTAACTACTTTTGAAAGAGGAATTCAAGTTTAGATCGGCTTCTCGAATTTCTGCACGGATCTCTGCTATGCTATTCTTTTTATTCAGATTTCCCTCATTTCCTGTGCTAGCTTGCCCAATTTTGGACGCCTTGATGGGGTAATTTTTAGCTTTTTAGTTGTTTTACTTTTTGGAATAGTTTCTTGGCATAATTTCCATAACTTTCTCTGCTAGCCTGCCTCTCGTTCGGATCATGAAGTGCTATTTTTAAGGTTTTTAACGGGGTTTCGAGCCGGAAAATCGCTGTCGCCATTTAATCCGACTGACTTTTTACGCCGTAATCTATTCGTTTGCAAGATTTTCCCTAATTATCTCTGCTGGCCCGCCTAGGATTTAAAAAATTCAGTTTCTTGTTTCGCTGAAAATTCAACGTCTCCTAGTTTGATGGCGGATTCGATTGCGAACCGACCCCAATCGGCCCTTGTCCATTCAGCCGGTCTCGAATCAGCTGTGAAGAGGAAATAGATATTTGACAATATCACCACTCCAGCCACTACGTAGAAGATACGCGACCACTAAAATAATGCTGTAAAAATAAATACAGTAAACAAAATTTTATAGTTTACTTTTAGCTTTCCGATTTTTGAAAATGTTGAAAATTTTTTTGGGAAATGTTCAGAGCAACGAGCAGGGATTCTTTGGGTGGAATTTAACGGCTAATTTAAAAAGAAATTCTACCGTATTTTCGCGGGCAAAATCGGGGGATACTGTAGAAAATTCCATTTTTTCATTTTTTAAAACAAAAGTATTTTTGTGGATTTTGTTTTTGCATAAAAAACATCTAGCAGGGATCTTTGAGGGATTTAAATATTTTTCTAGCCAAATTGATTCGTATTTTCTTACCCAGGTTTTTTCTGAAGTTTTCTAATCCATTTTTCAGGTTTTCATGGCGTAATTGGATGGGATTTAGCGTACCTGTTCCACAGTATTGTCGGGTGCCATAAATGCGACAAATACAGGGATGAACAGCACCAGAATACAATTGATCAACGTGACGACGGCCATCAGGAAATGGACATGTTGACGGGCTACCTGAACAAAAACGTGGGTACTGTAGCCCCTTAGACTTTCCATTTGTGCCTTCCTTCAATGGCCCTTTAGAGCTATTTTAGGGATAAAAATTGAGCTCGTGGTTCTGCTGGAAATTTGCCAAAAATTCGATTTTTGCCTTCCGAGTCCCTTTAAAAAGGGTAAATACTTGCTGTGCCGATTTTCGCTGTGCCGATTTACAGTGTGCCGATTATTGGTATGCCGAATTTTCGCTATGCCGAATTTCACGATGCCGAATTTTCACTATGCCGAATTTTCACGATGCCGAATTTTCACTATGCCGAATTTCGCTATACCGAATTTTCACTATACCGAATTTTCGCTATACCGAATTTCGCTATGCCGAATTTTTTCTACTCTACTACTAATAGTCTCTACTAATGTTAATAACTAAGATCGACTGGGACTTAGCGGTGCAACAAAAAAAATCTGCTGCGCCTACGGGAACTACGATCTGCCCGAGTTTTTGGAAATGTCTAGGCTAACTCTAACTTTCTAGGCCCATGATATTTGGAAAAAAACAGTAAAAAAAAATGGGGAACAGACCGCTTATCAAATTTAGTATGACGAAGATTCGGCATGGTGAAAATTCGGTATCGTGAAAATCGGCATGGTGAAAATTCGGCATCGTGAAAATTCGGCATAGTGAAAATTCGGCATAGTGAAAATTCGGCATAGTGGAATTCGGCATAGCGAAAATTCGGCATAGTGAAAATTCGGCATAGCGGAAATCGGCACAGCGTCAATCGGCATAGCAAAATTCGGCATAGCGAATGGAACTCTTTAAAAAGCTACCAACACGTTGTTTAATTTAGTTTACACATTCACCGGCCATTTACGAGATTTTTAGATAAGCTGGCAGCCGCATAAAAAAAAGGCAAAAAATCTGAAGCCTTTCCGGCTTTTTCAGAAATCTTGGCTGACTGCCAAAATTTCAATTTTTGCCCTCAACGCTCCTTTAAAACTGAAATACCGTACCAATTGTGCACATCTAATAATCCCAATAATATTGAGACCACTCGCCGCGATGGCCATCGTATAACATAATTGAGCTGTCGAGAGGGACGTCGTCTGAAATTGGCATCGAATATTCGATTACGTCATAAAATCCGGAATTCGGGAAAACGTTGGGAACCTCGGGTTTTTTCGTGGTATCCTCTTAACTGTCTGCCAGCGGCAATAAATCTAAAAACATTTAGGCGTAATCGGTTACGACACGAAAAACAGCTACACAAACGTCATTTGGAGGCTTCGGAACTTCGAACAATATCGATTAGCTTATTAAAAATACAGATAAATTTTCGGGATTTTGGACTTAAAGACAGGACTACAAGCCATTTGTAGCTAAATTCCGCAAAAATCGCTGCTAGCCTGCCCACGGGAAATTTGGCGCGATCCACACATTCGATTACGACAGGTCTATCAATTTTCTTTTTCGGTTTTTTTGCCTAATTTTTTCGGAAAAAGTTCAATCTGAGAGACAGATAATCGTTTGAGCAACAAACCATAGCCAGGGCAATGATGCAGGTCGTCATAATTCCTTGAGAAAGAGATGTGAAGAGGATGATCTTCGCTGTCTCTCCAATAAATGTCGTCTTGTCGGAGAGGGGACCCGCAATTGACTGCAAGTATCGGAGTTATGTTAACTGGCGCACAGTTTGATTGTTTCTCTGTCAGAAAGACAAATTCTCTGTTTGTCTGTCGATTTCGAGTGGTTTTTGGGTGTTTGTCTCTCTGTATTTTTGATAAATTCCTATCTTTACAGGTTAGACGGGCCAACTGGCTGTCAGTTTGTCGATTTGTCTCTCTCTCACTCTCCCTCTCTCTCCCTTTCTCTCTCTCTCTCCCTCTCACCTTCACAATAAACGACAATAAATACGGAAAAGCGGTAGCCCATCCAGTCGATGCCACCTCCATTCCCATCGCCTAGAAAATAGCGAATTCTCTCTCCCATTTCATGTCGTAATCGATTACCTTATTCATATAGGTGGGCCCGTATTGGAAAAACATTTGGAAGCCACCGTTTCCGCCAATTGACGCGCTCAAAAACTAAAAAAAAATAGATTTTTCGCCGTTTAAAGGGATCGGCAAGGCATCGTTCTATGGATTTTGCGGCGCGTTGCCTGTCGCGGCGCGCCGAAATCTATAGAAAAATGACTTGATAGTCGCTTTAAAGTGAAGTTTAAGCGTTTGTCCCTGAAATACCTGCGCCACGTACCCCTAAAATGACGGGTGTAGTGAGTATTGCTTTGTAGGGCACAGGTTGACGGCCTTCGTTGATTTCTTTCCCGCTTTGGATATGCGTCAATTCTTTGGCTGATACTTTCCTGGAAATTATTTAGAATTTTTAGGGTACTGCGCTCTTAACGGGGGGGGGATTTTCCCAGGCCCTTTAATGAAATATAAAACTTTTTGTCGTTTTTACACGGTTTTAGATTTAAAAATTGCTTTTGAAAAATACGAAAAATTTTGATCTGGCTACCAGTTTAGCCACTGGGCAGGCTAGCAGGAGTTATTTCAGCTGTTTGCACCGATTACGCCATGAAAATACGGGAATTTCACCCTCTCTATCGTAATTTGGAGTCTGACAGGACCGGGCAAGTAAGCAGAGACCATTTGCCATGGGCTTTTTTAACTGCTTGCCAGTTTCGCCAATGGGCAGGCTAACAGGGATTCTTTGAGTGATTTAGGCCGATTACGCCATGAAAATCTGTCTCACCTATGCATGGCCGGCTTATTCGTATAATATTTGGCATATATCAAGAAGAAGACGAGTGATACAGTACCCATCAAATAATACACAGATCTCCATCCAAATGAGGTATCACATAATCCACCCGATACTGGCATTGCCACCATCGCCGCGAACTGAGAACGAATTTTAACCTCCTTTTAAAGGGGCTGACAAGGCAGGATTCCTCATAGATTTTTCTATCGCACGTGGCACGCGACGCGCACGCTCCGCTTTCCTGTCCCCATAAATATGGTACTTGTCCATTATCGGGGGGGGGGGGGATTTTTTCGGTATAAATTCCGAAATCCCTATTAATCTAATAGTAAAACTGTTCTAAATGGGTTTTTTAGTAAACGTTAACTAGATTTTGAATGGAAAATTATCTAAAAACACCTTAGAAATTTTTGAAAATTTGGCCAGAACTTTCCGCAAATTGCCGATGCTAGCTTGCCTTGACGGTTTTTAGCTACCATGCCGAGACACGCAACGCGCATGCAACGCTTGGCACTTCCAAAAATTGCTCACCTGCAAATGGCATGATAATATGGAGATATAGAAAGAACTCTGATCCAAAGGACTCCATGCCTCCGAAATACTACCCAATAACGGGTAGTTGATCGCGATCGCGGCTCCCTGAAAGGGGATTACGGTAGGGCGGGGGACAGTTTAGCAATTTATATAGCTTTAATGCCTGTCAGTTTCGATTTTTAGCGTTTAAAGGGGCAAGGAGAACATTTTTGGCAGCCTGCCAATTTTTTCCAAATCGCGCCGGAACCGTTTTTCAGACAAAAAAAGATCAATATTTGAACAGTTAGAGCCGTGGAATTTGTTTTGGCATGTTGTCAACTTTAAAACCGAACAAAAATCAGATTTCTCCAAACCTTAAAACTGGAAAAAGAGCGATTTTCTAAAGCTTTCCAGTCCCTTTAAAATCCAATTTTTCGGGAAATATCGGTCGAAATGGGTACATTGCAGGCCAGTTTAGCAATTTTTATGAAAATTGGACTTACCTGTAGGGTTCTGATCGCAGCCACAGCCCAAAAACCACCAAAATCCACCGACACCGGGAGTAATAGGGTGGCTATGGCTGAGAGGAGACCGTACGCTGTGAACGAAATTCTGAAAAAGCCAGAAAAGTTATATTTTCTAAGTTTCCTGATATCAAAAACCGATTTCCACAAGTGGTCTCTGCTAGCTGGCCGTCAAGCTATAAGCCGAGCTGTTTTCAGAGAGTGCAAGTCTTTCCCAAATGATCCCTGCTAGCCTGCCTTCCCTTGTATTGCTCCCAGTCCCTCTAACTGACCGCCATTCGGTTGATTTTTGAGGGTTACAACCGGGGCGGATTATGCAAATTGTGTGGGGTGTGAGTGGGGTGATTTTGGGTGCAAATTCTCCATTTTTTTGGACCACAGCAGTGTACTGATTTTTGTGGTTTTTCTGACAGCAGAACACGCTAGAAATTGCACAAAATGTTCAAAAAAACCCCCTACAAAAACCCTGCTCAGTTTAAAAAATTGGCCTGAATAATCCTAAATGTTAAAAAAATGTTTAGAAATTCGATAATTTGTCAATAACGCTAAAAATCGGCAAAAATCACAATGTAATTCCATTTATAATTCCCCAAAAATCGCTGCTAGCCTGCCGGGTAGTCAGTTTGAAATTCGGCACAAAAAAAACTCGAAAAATTAGCGTACCTGGTACCGTATCGTTGCATAATTTGCATAAGGGGAGCCGTGCCTAATAATGTTCCAAAAGCGACAGCAGAGAAGAGGAGATTCTTTCGAGACGGAGAGTCCAGCCAATGCATATTCGGATCGTCCACTAAAATTGGGGGAGTTTTAAGCTTTAAAGGGGTCTGCAAGACATGTTTCCACGGATATCCGCGGCGTGACACGCAACGCGCGCGGAAAAATGGACAGGCTGACAGTCAGTTTGGGCGAATATGAGCAAACTGTAAAATTGACTGTTAGCCAGCCTGTCCGTGCCCCTTTAAAGGCATTGGCAAGGGAAGGGAAGGGATTTTGGTACTGGACTGTTAGCAGGGGGGGGGGGGGGGGGGCTAATTTTTGTTTTTCCGCCCATATATGCCTGTTGATAAACCTACTGTACTTCTATAACGTTGTGTAGATTTTGATAGCTAAAAAGTTCAAAAATCAATCGTTTTGGGCCCTTTTGGCCATTTTCCATGCATTTTCGCCCAAAAAGTCATTTTTCAGAAATTGCTATAATTTTTATCAACTGTTGTATTCAAAAACTGATTAAAATACTATAAAAATTGCCTATATTTCGTTTAAAGACCGTACAGGATCACTAGGAAAAAATTGGGGCCCTGCTACATCCCCCCCGCTAGCAGTCCAGTACCGAGATTTTGCCAATTTTCCGCCCAGCAACGCGACACGTTCAAACTCGTCCCTTACGTATTCAATTACGACATGTTAACACGGCGGCCAAGCGGTGCGTGCGCGTTGCGTGTCGATAAATCAAAAAAATCGGGGAAAACCCCAAAATCCGTAAGGAATTTTGCCTTGCCAATCCCTTTAAAGTGATCGTGACAGCCAACCTTTCAAGGGACAGTGTCAACTGGCAGGCAGTGAACAATTTTGGCCCCCGAAAACGCAAAAAACCGTACCAGTATGATTTGGGGAGTACGGTGTCTGCCTCAACCCCTCCTCCACATCATCCATACAAATAATCGTGAAATTGAGAATAAGTGAATTGGCACATGTCAAAGTGAGGCATACGGTAGATAGGGCAAGAATATAGTATCTCGTGCGAGAATTCTCATCGTTGGAGCCCATTTTAGCGAAATTCCAAATTTCCTCCTCAAAATCGCGATAAAATTCAAGGATTAAGGTATAGAAATGGAGGGCGGCGGTCAGTTAGTGGAATCGAGGGGGTGGAACGGGGTTCGGAGCAGTTCAGACGGAAGTTGGAGCACCACGGACTGCGGATGGGGCCATTTATCGGCTGCCTCGATAGTTGTCAGACACTAATTCCATGCAAATCTTCTGACAACACAATGTACACGCAGAGAGAGAGAGAGAGAGAGAGAGAGAGAGAGAGAGAGAGCAAAAAAAATATTGGGAAAAGCTGACGCAACCGGGGGGATCAGAAATTGAGAACGGGGGGCAGAATGATAGCATCCATAAACTAAAGAAAACATTACACTTGTGAAAAGGCCCTCTTCGGTCTATTTTCTGTCTATACACTAGCTGTCAAACATCACTGAAAATCTAGGAAGAAAAGGGGTTTTGAAGTCTGTCTCCTCCGCTTTCAAAGCATCCCTAAAAAACCTGAAAATTTTTTAAAAATTCCGATAAGGGCAGGCTAGCAGAGATCATTGAGGAAATTCTGGAAAAAGCGCCGCCCGCAGAAAAGTTTCTTTTCTAAACGAGAAAGCCCTAAAGACGAACACCTCAAAATATTACATTACGCCGTCGATTGCAAGATTTTTCAGAACCTTGAATGCCTAACAAAAAATTTTGGCTAGAAATTTGAAAACTAGATATATTAGAGCTTTTAATGGTGTAATGGAATGGTTAAGATATTGATCGGCGAAAATCCCGAAGGCGGCTTTAAAAAGGCGACATTCCAAAAGTTGTTAGTCAAAAAAGCCAAAATGCAACCTTTGTCTGGCGTTTTATCCTTGCTGCTGCTTGAAGTTTCTTCGAATCCGCCTTGGCTTGTCCCTGTTCTCGTCCATTCTCTGTCAAAGCGGGAAATCTAAAAAAGAAAGACGGAGAAGTAGAAGGTCCGATCACGAACCGCGATTCAACACAAGCAGAGCGCCCTTAGTCGGGAGATCGCCGCCGACGCGGTCTGTGGCGATTTTCCTAAAAAAGGTAAAAGAAACTGAAAAAAACAGGACCTTTCGCATCCTGATGTTCGTTGGTTCCATTCGTCCCATTTCTGCACCTCGAGCTGCCATTTCCCGCGCAGAGCCTGATATTTGAAATTTTATCTCAGGCAATCGGAAAGAACAAGGGAAAACGGCGCATTGAGAGAGAATGAGAAATGAAACGGTGCTTCAAATAGTGAAGCACTCAAAAGAACGCCGAAACTGGAAGCAAACAACCGGGATAAGTTAGGAAAGGCGGCAGAAGACAGAGGAAGGGCGGATATCGATAGAGATGGAAGGATTGCCGAAGTAACCCACGCATCTATCGTAACCGTCGAATGCCAATGGATAATCCGGTCCAAGAATATTTTCATGAAGCTGATCAGGGAGCAACAAGGGTTCGAAGTGGATCCATAGTTCAGAAGGGGGTTGTCCTCCATTCTTCCTTTCATCGAGAAGTTGTCGGATGACATCAAAGAAGCGAGACGACTTCTCGTAATTCGCTGAGAGATCCACGTAGCACTCCAAAAACTTGCCTTTCCAATGGGACAGGAAATCGAGAATCTTCATTCCAACATCGCCAAGCGAGAGAGTGGGAATAGTCGAGAGAGCCTGGCACAACATCGGTGTCATCGTCTCGTGTTCATAGCTCTCGAAGTCGAGCAATTTAGGTTGCAGCTTTTCGATGACACTGGCCACATTGTCGTCATGCTTTGGGCCAATGAAATAGAGCTTCGACAATTTCAATCCGTCAACATCCAGGCGACGGGCAGCCGAGTCGAAGTGGAGTTGCTCGACGCATGCCCCGTGAAGAAGAATCTCGAGTGCTTCCGGTGTTTGAGCCTCACAAGGAGAATGCCGTCCAATGGAGGCCACACATTCCACATAGCTGAAGTACTTGTCCTTCAGATACTTTGTCGCGTATAGGAGATTCTGATGAATACGAGCAATCGGGAGGAGGTCATCACTGTCCAGTGGCTCCAGAATCTCCCACAACATGTCCCGCGGAAGATCGTAGATGTTGGGCGTTGATTTGTAGATTTTCTCCTCTCCATCCTCATCATCTGCCGTCATTCCATTGTTCTCCTCGACGATGGTCATGCCCATCATATTGTCCTGTAGAGCGAGCAGTTCCTTCTCGAATTGATAACGATCCATCGAGGCGTCGAGTCGTCTTCTTACCTGAAAAAGGACTCTTGATTTGACGCCTTTTGCAAAATTGCAGCAATAAATGGAAAACAGAAAAGTGGTTAGACAAGCAGAGCAAAGAGAATAAGAATCAAAGCTGCTTTCAGTGAAATAAAGTTAAGACCTAGAAATTCCCAATAGCGAAGGCGCCGCCGAGTTGAAACAATAGAAATTAGATAGCTTTCTATTTGCACCAAGATCCGCCAAAAATACCGCCCAAAAATAGGAATATTTTCCCGCCGAAAAACCTTATAGGTAAAGACGGCCGCAACTAAAACGAGGTTTTGGGATCATTTCATCATAGACATTTATTCCATAGACAAGAAAAGCCGGATTTTTATATGCGAAATGAGCGTGATCTAGTTGATTTCTCGGCTCCTCTCTCTTCCAAAATCCATGGTTGATGCTATGGGGCAGGATCTAAAAGGTGAGGCGGCGAAGTAGAAGAGTCCAATCACTAACCGCAACCCAGAATGAAGATTGTTTCGTCGAGAAGTCGAGGTTGGTGGCAGTAGACGCTTTACTGAATGAAAATAAAACGAGAAACTTGGATAAAACTTGGCCATTTCGTGCATCTTCTCGGCCGGCGTCTCGGACAGGTTCTGCTTCGTCATCTTCTTACTGTTGTTATTGTTGTCACTTGGCCAATGAGACGGGAAGTATCTAAAAATACTGGCGGCGAAGTAGCAAGGTTCGATCACTAACCGCCCTCCATGAAATTGCCTCGCTTCTCGACCCTTTTCCCCATTTTAAGGTATCGACTGGCGAGAAGAGTCGTACCTGAAAAGAGCATTGATTTTATTCCTTTCCCTCTCCTAAAAATACAATTTTTCACCAAAACAACGTCGAAATATAGCAGATTTGATTTTTAGATTCTCCGGCCAAGAATTTGATCGAAAAAAATTGCAAAAAAACCTCAGCAAGTTATTAGGTTAAAAAAGCCATACTATAACCGGTACACATAGGATAACGGGGGGGGGAATAAAATAACGGGGGGGGGGCACTCATTATTATGAAATTTGCAATTACTGAGGGATTTTGCGAGTGCCATTCGATAGAGCGTCAAAAAATATACTAAGAGAATTAATTTGAGCCCAAAATAATGTAACGGAAATTTTTTATTGAATAAACAAAAATTGAGGAAAATCTATGGGCAGCACATAGGATAACGGGGGGGGAAAAAAATTTTCGGCGTTTTGAATATTTTCGAAATTTTGAAAATGCCATTCGATAGAGGACCGAAAAATATACTAAGAGTTTTTTTTACAGCCCGAAAAAAGCTTATTTAAAAATACTTTTATCATATAAAAAGTTTGAGTGCCCCCCCGTTATTTTTTCGGAAAAAACTGTAGCTGCCTCAGGAACAGTGAGATGCATTTTCAGAAACGATTCTTTGACTTGGAAGTGCTTTATTATCTCTAAAACTTTCGACAAGAAGAGGAGAAGAAAAGAAAGAAAAGGAGATTGCAGAGAGGAATACAAATAAGCAGAGAAAAGAAAAGAAATAGATATAAAACGAATAACCTAAGATAATTGGTGCGTCGTTGTGAAGCTGTTGCTGGGTGTAGATCACTTGCTAAATAAGAATAAAACGAGAAACTTGGATAAAACTTGGCCATTTCGTGCATCTTCTCGGCCGGCGTCTCGGACAGGTTCTGCTTCGTCATCTTCTTCTTGTTGTTGTTCTCGCAGGGCCAATCAGACGGGAAGTATCTAAAAATATTGGCGGCGAAGTGGCAAGGTTCGATCACTAACCGTCAGCCATGAAATTGTCTCGCTTCTCGACCCGTTTCCTCATCTTTGCGACGGCGCCATTGAAGTGTCGCTGGCGATGTTCTTACCTGAAAAAGAGCATTCATTTGATCTCTCCTAAAAATATAATTTTTCACCAGAAAACCGCCAAAATATTGCAGTTTTGATCTTTAGATCGACCAGACTTTGATCTCAAAAAATGGCAAAAAAAAATCTCGGCACGTTATTCGGTTAAGCTAAACTATAACCTTTCACCGGCATTGCCTTCCGACTGCTGCTTGAACCTTTTCGAACCCGCCGCGGCTGGTGCCTCCTCTTGTCGATTCTCCATCAACGGGGAATCTAAAAAAGCAAGACGGAGAAGTAGAGGGTCCGATCACGAACCGCGATTCAACAGCAGCAGCCCATGTCTTCCGCAACATCACCGCCGTCGCCGTCCCTCGCGATTTTTCTAAAAAGGAATACCAAGAAACTTTAAACAAACATGACCTTTTAGCGCATCCCATTCTTTTTTCCATTACATCGGCCCCTTTCCGTACCTCGAGCTGCCATTTCGTGCCCACAGCCTGAAATTTGAACATTTATTTCAGGCCATTTAAACAAAACAAGGGAAACGGCGCGTTAGAGCATGAGAAATGAAACGGCGCTTAAAATAGTGTAGCAATCAAAAGAAGACTGAAATTGGGAGCAAAAAGCCGGAATAAATTAGGAAAGGCGGCAGCACATAGAGTTAGGGTAAATGAGGATATAAATGGCAGGATTGCCGAGGTGACGCAGGTAGCTATCCCTAAGGTTCGGCCCGCGGACGAATGGGTAATCCGGTCCAAGAACATTTACATGAAGCTGATGAGGGAGCAACGGGGGTTCAAAGTAGATCAATAGCTCAGATGGGGCTTGTCCTCCATCCTTCCTTTCATCGAGCAGTTGTCTGATGGCATCAAACAAGCGAGACGACTTCTCGTAATTTCCTGAGATATCCACGTAACACTCCAAAAACGCGCCTTTCCATTGGGGTAGGTA